TTGTGGTGGCCATCTTGGTCATGTTTTCAAGGGTGAGGGGTTCCCTACCCCAACAGATGAGCGCCATTGTGTCAACAGTATTTCCCTCAAGTTTGCACCGGCAAATTCCTAGTCCATCGGACTGAGGATGTTATGGTTATCACAGCTTTATAAGATACTACATTAACTACTGATGACAGTGTTGTGTTTTGGAAATAAAAGTTACTTTTAGCCTTGCGCTCTCGTGGAACTGATCCTTAACCTTTTGTAATGTAGCTTCAACATATAGGAAAAACTGGGCGAGTTTGATATAAATATTTCATGAGTTTGATGTAACTGCCATTTTAGGTACGGAATGCTGCTCATACGTCAAGTGCAAGTCCTGTTTCCTATGTAAGGGTAGAGCCTGAGTATTAGATATTCCATCGATGGGAATGGTTTGAGAGTGTCACCATCATAGAACTCTTCACCAGTATATGCAACTCCATCCATCGCTTGTATACAAAGTGTTCTGAGAAGCTGAAGCTTCCCAAGTATAGGTAAGTTATAGATCTTCAATAGTTGATCAAAACAATCAGCAGCAGTTTCAGAAAGCCCCAATCTGGAAAGTTGATTCTGGATATGCTCTGATACATAGTTTTTTGAGTTTAAACTATGTATCAGAGCTATTAACCTTTCTATAAATTACCACATATGAAGTGGGGGCCTTTGTCAGTTTCAAATTGTGCTCTTCATTCCCACTTCCCATTGGAAGTACCGAAGCTAAAAAGGCGACTCAATTAGGTTATCACAAGATGGCAGGCGCAGGATTCACAAATTACATGGGTTTCGGATAGTATGTGGGAGCTTCTGGATTGACTGAGAGAGAGATCTAGGTTTCTCAGACATATCAAAGCTCTAATATATTCATGCATTCTTTTGATGCATCCACTCAAATCCAGGACTCGCGAGTATATAAAGTTTACAGGTAGAAAGAAGGAGTATATCTGCTGCTACTAGGAAACAAGAATTTGAGTGTTCATGGATGCCTAAGGTGAATGAAGCTGGATTGAAAATTACAAAGGACTGACAAGTGATGAACATGTACTAGGTTATCTTGGGCAAAATTCTCACCCGACGAAGCTGCCCGCAGTTCTTGCAAGATCATGTAGAGTCAAATATCTTGACTTCTTGAATGGATGATAAGCACAGTCATTGAGATATTGGCTGCAACTGTGATCTGTTCCTCTTGACATGATAGCCACAGAAATTCTAAAACGAACAAAGCAGACCTTCCTTTGGTACTTGTTCATATACAATCAAGGGTACATTTCTTGAATTCTTATCTATAATGCCAACTATAACATCACTCACCTCAATAACCTAAAGATTTGATCATCTTGATCGCATAAAAAGGGTAGCCCGATGCACAAGCATCTTGTGTTGAGGTTCGTGGAAGGACCGCACCCAAGGGATGTGATCTAGTAGCCTATTTTAGCGCAAGCATTAGTAGTCGCTCCCACAGTTCGATCACCTTGATTGCATGCCTCCAATAAATTGCACGTATAAGTTAACTCAAAAAAGCATAGCCTTTTGCATTACCCAGAGAATATTAACATAAAATAAGTGTTAAACAACAACAGCAGCCAGGTGAAAGTCCACAAATAAAAGAAGTCTTAAGCTCATAAAAATTGTACCAGCGATTATAAATAAGATCAACTATTAATGCCTAAGTTTACCCTTTAGGACATAAATGCTGCTCAATAATGGCATATATTTTACACCCGAATCAACTAGACAGCTTCCTCACTGTACAGGTCATTATTTACTAATCCAGCTTCTGAGTTAGTCCCAATTGCTCATTTATCGGCCACCATATAATGATATCCTATATTCTACTATTTGGTGTAAGAGTATTCTCTTTTGTATAAGACACCTTTGCTAATCCGATAGATGAATGTGGTTGTGTCACACATTCCATATCTAAATATTTCTCACATTGACTTGGTGTACCACTAATGAAATATTTTTCAGTTGTCAAAAGAATTACTGTAAAACATTTTCAGCTCTGCTTCAGTCAACAAGATTCAGGGATCAGGAGTTCAGTACACAAGAGAGTCCAGGCTTGATACCCATTAGTCTATGCAAATCCATGGAAGTAACAATAGTAAAAATAGCACGGGTTAGCCGGTCTGAAAACTGACTATTCAAAAATAGCCAGCGTTTGCAAAGTCATTGAAAGATAGCTACTATTTTGCTGCAACACGAAAAGTTCCAGCATAATATACTGAAGATCGGTGCACCTGTGTATGAACTTCCAGCATATTATTCTGGAACTCCAACGCGCGGAGAGTTCCAGTATAATATACTGGAGATTGGAGCACCTGTATATGAACTTCCAGCATATTATACTGGAGTATTTTTCGGATTTTGAACAGTGTTTTCGTTCAGATTTATTTTTACATGGAAAATGGCTAAATTTCGATTACTTTTCAAACTGTGGCTATTTTTGAATGACCACTTGTAACCTGTTACGACTGCAGCTAATGGAAAATAGGGTAGGTGGAATCATGCAACACCCAGGAAGCTTGCAAAAAATCTCTTGTAATTTTGTAATCAAGAAACATTGATACTCCTTGATTTATGCAATTAGAGGTCAAAGATCAATTAAGCTATATCTGAATCTTTTTCCTCATATAGCTTTAAAAATCAAATTCGTGCAGAGATACGTACAGATGAAAAATCAGTATCTTTTTATACTGAGTGAATCTTATGAACTCATTTCCACCTCACACATGAGGACAGAGTAAAAGAATTACAAGGGTTTCAACATCCAGTTCAGTTTACAGCAAAAAAACTCTCTGTTCAAGCTTTATCAATCCGCATCTACACAAGTGAAAGGTCACCAGCAGGGATAGATCTCTTAACAAGCTTTGCCCAAGACTCGTTGGTTTCCGTAATAATCTTAAGGGAATAATCCTGTGATTGCAAATGAATTAGATAATCAGCAGGGTCATGCAGAGCAGAACAGGCAATTCTAACTATGCAAAGCCAACTAGCACAGGCTTGTGTAACTGGACAAAGTTTTTAACCTCCTTTGTTTTACGTTCTTTTGGGGGCATTGGGAGATAAAATGTATGCAAAAGTAATAAATATCATTATTCTTCACTCACTCATGTCATTATGTGCTAAACTTTCACTCTTACAGGAAAACACATAAAAGATATTATATAATTATTCACTGCGAAAGAGGGACAAAAAGATTTTATCTTCACATGGAATAACTGAGATGCGATCCCCAAATGTGGAGATCAAAATTTTGCTTAGCACCAACAACCATTAAAAACTTAAGATCGGTCTCTTTCAATGCATATAATCTCAACACAGTAATAGATACGCAGAAAGTCAGAAACAGGGAGCTTTAACAGATAGTAACAAATTTTCCCAATATTTCATCAGTATGAAGAAATCAACATAATAATGTTCAAGAGGGTACCTTGTTAGCTGGCTTGTTTCCAAGTCCAAACTTGTTAGCAGGCTTTCCGTCAGGAATCTTATAGTCTCTAAACCAGTCTCTGATAGCTGTCAGAGTGCCCTGAAAATTTCAGAGGATCAGTTTGAGATATTCACAAGTTGAAAGAATAGAAGATCTCAGTATATATATACACACACACACATATATATATTAGATTATTATGCAAAGTGCTGATTTAGCTCATTAATAGCTACCTTAGTCATGACTTGAAATAACCATTTTGAACCTACACTGTTAAATGCTATAACAGTGTTGGCTTTCTAAAGGCATTGAAGCATTACTTGAGCACAGTATAGAACAGGTTTGCCTCTTTTTTGCTGTTAATGTTCAAGAGAATTTGGTCAATCCAAATGAGATAGCAAAAGAAAATCAAGGAACCTAACTCAGCACTTAGTGGAAATCTTTTCAGTAAGTGTCCTTAAGAACCACAGCAAGCTTTGATAAATCAGAAGTATTCATTAATACCACACCAAATAGAGTGGAAAAATATGTACAAGACATGGATGCGGCTCAACCCCAATTATCTGCCCAACCATCTATATATCATTGACCTTTTAAAGTACCACAGTCGAGAACCTCCAAAGTTTCATTCCACGTAACTGATTTGATCCAGTAAGAATTACTAATTGTGGGTATTGATGCACTAAACATTGGAAGCAATGCAGTTCAGTAAAGGTCATCAAAAAGGTATGGAACACTAATATCATAGAAGTTAAGGATCTGGGTAGAGGAAACATGTATAGGACTAGGATAGACTTTGAGAAGTGCATGTAATTACTTCAAGTAAGAAGACGAAGCAGCCACACTTAAATGCAACAAAAACTCCGCAATGAGGATTTCTCCTCATGCAATTTGAATGGATCATCAAAAGCAATGTGGCCGTTTTTGCATGATTACTGCAATGTTTGTGGAAATAACAGAAAGCCTTGAGGATCTTGTTGTAGAGACCAAATTTCTTACCTTTTCCGCGTGATATATGGTATGGATACTTGGCATGCTCTGTTATTCTCTTATTCATCGTACTAATATTTAATAAGGAGGCTATTGATTTGCCTATAATAGCCAATAAATAATAGAGAGGAAGCGTTGGTGTCCATCTTCATCTGTACTACTACAGTTGTTTGTGCAACTTAAATGGTGGAACTTCACATAAGGACTGGTGACTGTTACTTAGACAAACTAGGCCTCCTTCAAGCAAAAGTTCATTTGGGAGCAGAAATTTGCAATGAACGGTTAGTGTTTTGCTGGGAAAGATTCGTCTACCAGCAGTTATAAGAGGAGCTTTGCCTGGATAACTTTGACCATTGTCTACTTGCTTTAAACCCTCATTCCAACAAAGTATGTAGCTAATTTCTGAAACCAGCAAGGTCCGCATAAATGTTACTTCTTTCTATTATTTCTATTGCTGTTCTTAGGCAATGATCATTGACCAACTTTTCAGAACTTCTACTCACTGGTTCCAATTGAAGAAGTAAATTATGGATAATTAACTAAACCAAAGAACACAGCCGTAAACATATAAAGTTGAAAAATCCACAAAGAAAAATATCTTTAACAGGACACATATGCACAAAAAAGAGAGTGCCAGACAATGATGATGCATGAAGATTTATAAAATCATCTGCAGCCTGAGAGTAAAGAAGAGTGAAAAAAATAAGAGCTTTATTGCATTCAAAGCATACCGGAAAATGTTTCTCCACATCATCAATATCATTGACAAGTGACGCTCGGGGATCATCTAGGGAAATAGCAACTATTTTCCAGTCAAGTTCTCCTTCATCAATCATTGCCAAAGCAGCTAAAGGTTTGACCTTCAAGACCTGGCGAATTTTAGCACGGCTTTCCCCAATCTCGACAACATCAACTACATACAAATTAGTCATCAAGAAAGTTAATCAGCTAAGCCATCTTCTAACTTGTTTGTTGCCTTTTTGATGGATGGTTAGAAGAAAGCTTGTTTAACAATTTATGAGTGATGGAAATATACCAGGGTCATTATCTCCAAATGCCCCCTCAACTTCAGCATTTGCAAATGAAGGGTCTTCCCAGGTTTGAGGAAGCAATCCATAGTTCCAATGAATATTATATCTGAGAATGGTACAAAGACGTGCATCAAATCAAACAAGGAACCAACACGACATCATGAATTTAGTAACTTCATGCAACTATCATAACAGATTATGTGCGAAAAGCTATTAGCTTTATCAGCCAAAGATTGATGATCGAGATGTGTCTGTCAATGTTTAACAATAAGCATTAGACAACAGACTAAACCCTATTGGTCCTCAGCAGTTAACTCATGTAGCACAAGGCCACAGGGAAACTGATGGGCCAAATAGACTAGTCCACAGGACACAACAAGATAGTAATAGATCATACTAAAAGTAAGTTGGGAAATAGTGCCACAGAATGGTCTTACGGGTAGTATCTAAGTTTCCCCTTCTTTGTGTCTTGTTTAATTGGTGTGTACAGCTCATCTGTAGCAACTTCCATCTTTGCACTCGATTCTTTAGGAATTTCAGCAATAAAATTGAAAACACCATCACCTAAATGCAGTGGTATGTCATGCCAAGGGGACACCTGCAGATCACATGAATGTGAAAACAATGACTAGAACTAATATGCTCATGTGAACTATAGAGTTCAAACTTATGTTGACAAGTGAAAGTTAACAAAAAATGAAGAACATTCAGAACAAAATACATTAAAGAAATAAAAAGGGCAGCCCGGTGCACGAAGCACAACCTACCCTAATGCAAGCATTAGTGGCTGCTTCCACGGCTCAAATCCGTGACCAGATTGGTCATGCAAAGATAACTTTGCTTCAAGACTCCTCTTCAAATATATTGTAAGAAATATAATAGTAAAATTATTATGTGACTTCATTCTTTTTCCTTCTTTTAATTGGATTTCGTTTGTTGCTTCCTCTTATCTGTATCTTCTTAATCGAGACAATATGCAAACGGCTTAACTTTTATAAACTGATAGCATAAAGAACTTGTACTATAGCCATCTTGTAGGTGTGAATCCATAATTTGGAAAATCCCTGCTACAACAGATTAAAGTACACCAACATATAACTTCCCTGCACTGTCAGTATATACCTTAAAATCCATGTGCAAAAACTTCAACATTTCACATGAACAGGAATGACAGAATGAAGCTCCAAATTAAGCCTTCAATCCATGAATTTTAAACATAAAATACATTTCAACTCTCTCCAAGTCTCAACATAAGTACGACGCAACAAGACACTGACTTTTAAAATTCTCAATTCCTCTTTTTCGGAAGTAAACTCGATATTACTAAATGAATAATATTCCAATAGAGTGATAAATATATCCAAGGAGTCAACAATTCAACGTCCAATTGAACGAAATGAATGCAGATTCATATACAGTAAACTCTAACTAGTTCAGCATTAACATCTAACTGATTAATTAATTGATTTTGAGATAAGCAGAGGGAAGTGTTCACCTTTTTGCCTGAATCGTCAACGAAAAAGACACGATAATCTAAAGTTTCGGGCTGGCCTTGTTCTTTGATTTGAATCTGAGGATTATAAATAGCAGTGCAAGTGAAAAGTCGGCTCCTGTGTGCAGCAGCAGGTCCATTGCGAAAACAAAGGTTGAAACTATTGGGCTTTTGGAGAGGAATTTTGGATATAAGAGAAGTTGTTAGAGTGTTGTTTGCTGATACCATTACTCTTGCAGCCGCCATTGTTGCCTTTGCTGCTGTTTAATAGAGAAATGGAGAACTGAAAAAACAATAGCAGCTGCTGTTATCACTGATTTAACTGCAACCGCAGGCTTGGAATAAATTTATACTTTAGTTTGACTCTAGAGTTTTAAGAAAAGAAAAAAAGAAGAAGATTTTGGTAACTCGGGGTCTTAAAAGTTTAACGGGTAAAAAGTTTGTGGGGCCATAACATTTGTGTGGCTATAAATGCTTCTCATTAAGGATAAATGAGTAAAATGAAAGAGTTTAAAATTAAATTATTTCCAAATTTAGAAATGTATCATTTATTTTGGAACGGACTAAAAAGGAAAGTAACTCATTTAATATGAAACGGAGAAAATAGTAACACTTTCTCTTTGTCTCTTTCTTTTTTTGGAAAATAAAATCATTCAATTTTTTTTTGAAAAAATAAAAAAGTAAACATACAACAAAACTAAAGGTATTCAAAAGTTAATATTTTTACGTAAAAAAATTAATTTTATATACATAGTTTAATTTGTGGAGGGTCTCTCGAAAATAGCATCTCTTATTTTAAGGTAGGGATAAGGTCTGCGTACACTCTACCTTCACAAACCCTCACTATATGGGATTGCACTGAATTTTTTGTTGTCGTTGTTGTTGTTGTTGTTGTATATACATAGTGTAATTTGGCAGCGAATGGGCTTCACATAAATCCTCTTTTTCCACTCTAGCTTCGCCCATGTTCAAAATGTATGATATCATGTTAATCTTATATAAGTTTCATATAGATTTCAATCTAATTCACCTTAGAAAATTTAATTTACTTTTTCTATTTTATCAAAATAGTTTTTAATTTTTTTAAAATTTCTTCCACATTCTTTAATGTAAGTAATTCAAATAAAAAATCATAATTATATTTTTAGTCAAATGCTCAAATATTATCAGTATGTCTCACAAAAACAAAAATTCAATTTTATATCCACAACTTACTACAAATACCATCATATGAAATGCAAAAAAGTGACTATTTAATTTGTTATCACTCCACATTTAATATTCACATTGCAGTACCACTAGTTTCTGCCTTTCTTGTATATTCTTTTTTATCATTTTCCATTAATGCAAAACGGAAATTAGTGGTAACACATCATAAAGAATTTGACCAAAAAAGTAGGAAACAAATCATAAAGAAGACTGTTATTATACAACAACAACGACCCAGTATAATCCCACAAGTGGAATCTGGGAAGGATAATATGTACGCAAACTTTACCTCTACCCGAAGGGTAACAAAATAAAAGAGATACGTAAATGATTTTGGGAATCATAAGAATCGGAGCCCAATGAGATAAAATATTGTCAATCTGTTGTAATAAATACTTACCTTAATCTACGCTTCTAAAAAAAAAATCCTTATGTTACTACAAAATACAAATTGACGCACTAGAAATTGCAAATTGCATAAGAGGAATAGTTTTTTTCAAAATTAGGGTGCTAAATTAACTTATGTTCTACTAAATAATTTTTGCAGAAGATTTAAATTATTTATTATCACTTTGATTTAAGTAGGATATTTGCTCGCTCAATGATTGGAAGAAATGTAACTTTTTATTTCGAGGTGTAACTCAGTTAGCACAAAAAGAAGAAATACAGCGCAATATAAAAAGTATGGATTCATATTTTTTAGTGCCCCTAATTGGTTTTGTGATTTTGCTCATTGCAGCTAATCGAGCTGTTGAAGTAAATGAGATGTGGAAGGTGTTGGAAAATAAGTGATAATATTGATCAAGAACAAAGGAAATTTGTATACGTTAGAAATCGGGGTTACCCGATTTCGTGGGCTCGAGGGTCACTTCAAAAGTGAGATTGAAATAGACCAGGAGCGAGCTCGATGGGAGGCTTCGAAGATCGAAGTGCTCGATGAACACCGAGGCCAAGTATGACCGACCTCGAGATAATACCGTTATGGTCCCATAACAGAAAGAGCAAAATTCTCGCAGTGATCCTAGGATCACGGCGTAAATTCCGGAACGGATTTGTACTAGGCGGTTAGACAGCAGTATAATAAGATTCCCTACTACAATTAGAATTGTACCTTATTAAAAATTTCCGTACTATATAAAGGGGACCCCAATCATTTGTAAAGACCATCAATCATTGAGAAGAGAATATACGTCTTCACTGTCTTGCCTACTGCTCATCTGAATCATTTTATTACTGTTTTATTGTTGTTGTTCTTTTACCTTGAGGTCGTTCTTGCTCGAGGTCGAGGTCTATTTACACTATTGGTTTGACTTGCCTTACTCTTAAATTTACATATTAGATTCCTTGTTTATCAATTAGTATTGGATTAAATCACATATCTTTAAAACCACAAAACAAGTTTAATTGTTACTCGGATTTTAGGGTAAACAGTTTGGCGCCTACCGTGGAGCTAAAGATAATAGTAATCATTTCAGTACTGATTCTGATAACACACGTTATTTTCACACTTGTTCTTGTCATGAATTTTTGTTCTCAGGTTAAAATATGTCAAACTCACAAAACGCACACGTCCATGGCGATGAGGGTCTTCGATTTCACGGGGAAAATAACAATGTAGTTGCTCCGGGAGCCGGTGTACCACCGATTAACCCTGGGGAAGTGCCGATTGTAGAACTAGTCGACATGTTCACACATTGCTTTGAACGGAGACTTAGGCGCAGGCCCCGGAGGAAGTGTACGTAGGGAAGCCCGATCTGGTGGCTAAGGAACGCAAGGTATAGGAGACGGGGGAGTTAGTCTCCAAGTAATATTCGAGATGCTACAGGCTTAACAGGTTGCTATCGCTCAGCTTCAAAGCCAACATAAAACTCCAAGTGTGGTCGAACTAGAAATCACTCGCCGAACCAAGCCAGTGCCAGAAAGATCAAACGATAATGGGTCGGGGACCGATCCCTTGATTATGAGGATGCTTGAGCAGCTCACCAAAAGAACCGAGTCGTGAGAGAAAAGGATTGAGGATAATGACAAAAAAGTGGAAACATACAACTCCCAGGTTGACCAAATACCAGGGGCACCACCGATATTGGAAGGACTAGATTCTAAAAAGTTTGTGCAAAGACCCTTCCCCCTAGTGCGGCTCTGAAGCCAATCCCCAAGAAGTTCCGTATGCCTGAGATTACCAAGTATAACGGAACGATCGATCTGAATGAACACGTCACCTCGTATACGTGCACCATCAAAGGAAATGACTTGGAAGATGACGAAATTGAATCCGTACTGCTGAAGAGGTTCGGGGAGACTCTATCCAAGGGTGCCTTAATATGGTATCACAACTTACCTCCTAATTTTATTGGTTCGTTTACTATGCTTGCAGATTCTTTTGTAAGAGCACACGCCGGAGTCGTTAAAATTACAACGAGGAAGTCAGACCTTTTCAAGGTAAGGTAGAAAGATAACGAGATGCTCAGGGAATTCGTATCTCGGTTCCAAGCAGAGAGAATGGATTTGCCTCCAATCACCGATGACTGGGCTGTTCAAGCTTTCGCTCAAGGCCTCAACACCCGAAGTTCCATAGCTTCACAGCAGTTAAAGCAAAGTTTACTTGAGTACCCGGCTGTCACTTGGGCCGACGTACATAATTGGCATCAGTCGAAGATTAGGGTCGAGGATGATCAACTGAGGACTCCTTCGGGTTCTGTTTATCCTAACAGGCCCATGGATAGGATCGAAAAGGACATTGATCGAGAGCCGAGGTCGAGTAGAGATTAATATCAACCATATAACGGAGACCGTAGAGGCAGCGGGTCTAGGCAAAGCTTCGCACAAAATGAGAGGAGAAATGATACGAGGTCAAAATTCACGGGGTCTTGATGCCGAGGAAGATCACGTTAAATATCCAAAATCTGAATAAAGGTATGATGCCAGTACAATCCTTTCTATTTTTTCGACCAACACTTGCAGGTTTTCGACAAGGATCGACATGAGGCTTTGGACCTTAAAGCACGCATTGCACTCTTTTTCCCTTAGACCTTTTTTTGTCCCAAATGGGTTTTTCCGGCGAGGTTTTTAATGAGGCAACCATTATTCGTGCTAACTTAGAGCAATTCAACAGTATCCGAGGTTCCCTACAATAATCATCGAGTACTGGAGGGCATTACCATTGATGTCTACTTTGTGACAAGGAAATCACTTCGTGACAGCGGGTCTCGATAGGATATTGTTGTAAGGGTCAAACGATCAGATGAACCGTGCCCCTATAGGTTACTTGAGCCCTGATATCAAACATGCCCCCATGTAAAATCATCTATTGAGAGAAGTATTTTTCTTTGCCGATATCTCATGCCTTTAGAAAAATTTCCTATTTTATACTCTTGATCTATTGTGTAAACAGGCTTAAGGGCCGATCGAGAAGGAAGATTCGAACAACTAACCTCGCGCTTAAGGACTGCCGTCTGAAAAACGAACGAAATCAAACTACTAAAATTTTGAGACCATAAGACCTTAAAGGCAACCCTTGATTTTACAGGCCACAGCCACCTCACTCGGGGACTGACACTTCGGGCAAGCTCGAAGTGAAATGGAAAATAAGCCCAAAGGGCGAGTTCCGAACCAAAAAGGCTACGACCAAATTTAGCGCGGATCGGAGACATCCGAAATCCGTAACAAATACAAAAGCCCAGGGGCTATCTTAACCCGAGTTCGAGTACACTCTCATTTGGGGACTATCTATAAAGTCTAAGGGCTAACTTTACTTCGAGTTTGAGTAAATCCTCACTCGACTATAAAGCCTAAGGGCTAACTTTACTTTGAGTTCGAGCAAGTCCTCACTCGATCATAAAAGCCCAATGACTATCTTAACCCGAGTTCGAGAAAATCCTCACTTGGGGACTATCTATAAAGCCTAAGGGCTAGCTTTACTTCGAGTTCGATCAAATCCTTACTCGACTATAAAGCCTAAGGGCTAACTTTACTTCGAGTTCGAGAAAGTCCTTACTCGATCATAAAAGCCCTAGGGCTATCTTAACCCGAGTTCGAGAAAATCCTCACTCGGGGACTATCTATAAAGCCTAAGGTCTAACTTTACTTCGAGTTCGAGCAAATCCTCACTCGACTATAAAGCCT